TGTCTCTGGTCTCTGACACTTGCTCTCTTCTCGCTGCAGACGCCGGGGAGAAAGGAGCTCAGCTATCGGGGGGACAGAAACAGCGAGTGGCCATCGCCCGAGCCCTTGTCCTTGACCCTCGCGTCCTCATCCTCGACGATGCCACCAGCTCCCTGGATGTGGAGAGTGAGCACATGGTAACTATTGACATCACCTAGTAAATAGTAACTAGTCAGCAAATTACCTGGTAAATAGTAACTAGCCAGACATCTCCTGGTAAACAGTAACTTGCCAGACATCACCTGGCAAATAGTAACTAGTCAGCATATCTCCTGGTGAAAAGTAACTAGTCAGCACATCACCTGGTAAATTGTAACTAGCCAAGATATCACCTGGTAACTATTAGGAAACCAGTACATGATATTGTTATCAGTTGGTTTTTAGCTAAATATCAGTTGTCTTTGTAAATACGGTATCAAATTACAAGGACGTAAACCAACTCATGGTTTATATGGTAAACTTTCACTAAACTGTCAAGTCACCTAATTAACATTAAGCAGCATTGCCTATGGTAATAATTAACAGCATTTCCCCCAGTAAATAATAACCAACCACAGGTCTGCACAGAAAATATTACCTAATCAGCACTTCTTGTGGTAGATATTAACTGATCATTGCTTTGCGTGGTAAGCGTTAACCAGCACCAGTGACCAGTCTCACACTCCTGTCTGTTCAGGTTCAGGGGGCAGTTTTCCAGCGATCTGAGGAGCGAGCGCTGCTGGTCATCGCTCACCGGATGAGCACCGTGGAGAACGCGGACCAGATCCTGGTGCTGGAGAACGGGAGCATCGTGGAGCGAGGTCGGCACCAGGAGCTGCTCCTCCAGGATGGCATTTATCGACGTCTCCGACAGAACCAGCTCCGGGGATTCGGGAAAAACAGAGACACTGTGGCGGCAGGCACAGGCACAGGTACAGGCACTGGTACAGCTGAGGAGCCGTGACATCGACAACAACAACAACAAGTTGCACTTATAAAGTGCCCTCCGCACAGGCCAGTGTCTCAGAGCGCTTAACCTTCACTCTTCAACCAGCGACTCCAAGGAATGATGTGCTGCTGCTCGTCACAGGCTCCTGCTTCACTGTAGACATTAGATTGTAAATAAATGAGATTAATAAAGCGTTTTGTACTAAACACTCAATCTGCCATTTTTATTAAAAGTTGCACCTCTGCAGAATAATAAAACGAGTGGTCACACGGCCTGTGATTGAATTCACATCCAATCTCCACCAAGACTATCTGAGTGAGAGGATAGTGAACCCCTGGCACAGCCTCCCTCAGGGGCAGAGACCATAAAGCAGCAAATGTTCATTCTTTCAAATACGGAGCAGATTATTTTTTTCGAGGAAATAACATGATGGGATAATAAAAGCTTTGCATTTGATATAGCGCTTTTTCACAACTTCTGGGCGTCTCAAAGCGCTTCATAGAATACACTGTAAAGTGAATTGACTGTATTTTGTGGGCGAAAAGCGGCAGCCAATTGCGCACAGCAGTGTCCCACAAACAGTCATGGATAGAAGTGACTCAATTTTTTTTTCTTGAGGGATTATTATCAGGCGTATGGAGCAAAGAAACTTGCCGAAGGTGTCGCCCTGCCGGGAATCAAACCCTGGTCTCTTGCTTGCAAGGTGCGTGCTCTACCCACTGAGCTACAGGACTCCAGTGATGGACCTTGGCCTTCAGATGGACCTTGGGCTTTATTTGTCCAGTATTTTTTATGTTCTTATGGTCTTGTGCACATCGCGGCTCAAGGCTTAGTGAGATCTTCATGTTGGAGAAGATGTAAAAGTCACATCATCGGGTGTCCGGAGCCAGTGAAGCAGTTTCTCGCAATGAGCGTGTTATCTGCCGGCGAGAACACATGTTTATCTTGTGATGGGAGCACACGTGTGCGAGGGGTATGGTTGAGACTTGATTGTGAATTACTCACACTCGGTGTCTCTCGCACTCTGATCTGTAGATGTTTGAGTCCAATTCACACTCGTTGTTCACACTCAACAATGACAAGTCACTCAGTCACTGACTCACATAAACGAGTGAACACGAGGCGTGTTCTTCCGACACACGAGGAGAGCAAAGATGGTCTCAAACAATAAAGTTAAGGTTAGAGTTTGCTCAGGTTTGTGGGGCTCTCGGGCCCTCCAGAAGCCAAGTGATGATTGTGGTCATTCTGCTGCTCTGATGTGCTTCTCTGGCGCCGCCTGGCGGTGTCCGGACTCCAGCGCCGCCTGGCGGTGTCCGGACTCTAGCGCCGCCTGGCGGTGGTCGGGCTCTAGCGCCGCCTGGCGGTGGTCGGGCTCTATCGCCGCCTGGCGGTGTCCGGACTCTGGCGCCGCCTGGCGGTGTCCGGACTCCAGCGCCGCCTGGCGGTGGTCGGGCTCTGGCGCCGCTGATTGAGCTGAAACCTGAGAAGTTTCAATCTGCTCCGCAACTGGTGACGCGATGAACGCAGCATCGCGAGTGGCGGAGTGTCCGACAGCCCCGCCCCCCGCTCACAGCCCCGCCCCCCGCCCACAGCCCCGCCCCCCGCTCACAGCCCCCGCCCCCCGCTCACAGCCCCGCCCCCCCGCCCACAGCCCCGCCCCCGCTCACAGCCCCGCCCCCCGCTCACAGCCCCGCCCCCCGCTCACAGCCCCGCCCCCGCTCACAGCCCCGCCCCCGCTCACAGCCCCGCCCCCCGCTCACAGCCCCGCCCCCCGCTCACAGCCCCCCACCCCCACAGCTCACAGCCCCCCACCCCACAGCCCCCCCCACCCCCACAGCCCCCCACCCCACAGCTCACAGCCCCCCACCCCCACCGCCCCCCCACCCCCACAGCTCACAGCCCCCACCCCACAGCTCACAGCCCCCCCCACAGCTCACAGCCCCCCACCCCCACAGCCCCCCCACCCCCACAGCTCACAGCAGAGACACCATCACAAGCTTCAAACACCAACTAACAGGCAGCGGTTTAACCCCTTGTGCTTGTGTTTAACCCTCTGTTTCTGTGTTTAACCCTCTGTGTGTTTAACCCCCTGTGTCTGTGTTTAACCCTCTGTGTGTTTAACCCCCTGTGTCTGTGTTTAACCCTCTGTGTCTGTTTAACCCTCAGTGTCTGTGTTTAACCCTCTGTGTCTGTGTTTAACTCTCTGTGTCTGTGTTTAACCGTCTGTGTCTGTGTTTAACCATCTGTGTCTGTGTTTAACCCTCTGTGTGTTTAACTCTCTGTGTTTGTGTTTAACCCTCTGTGTCTGTTTAACCCTCTGTGTCTGTGTTTAACCCTCTGTGTCTGTGTTTAACCCTCTGTGTTTGTTTCTGTGTTTAATCCTTTATCCCATGATTCGCTTTGCTTTCCCGCACCTCCGCAACATCGCCCGACTCCGCCACTGCCTCAAGATCCCTCATCCCTCATTCACACATTCATCACATCTACTATAACAACAACTTGAAGTTATATAGCGCCCTCCACCCAGGCAGCGTCTCAGAGTGCTTAACAGTAGGGGAGCTGGACGCCAAGTTGGGGGGAGTGGGCGACGTGACCGTAAGCACAGTCGAAGTGAAGGTTTTCAGGCACGATTTGAAAGAGGGGAGGGGGCACGGCAGAGGGATTGAGGGAGAGTGTTCCAGAGTTTTGAGGTGTAGTAGCTGAAAGCAAAACCTCCAATGGTGGGGCGGAGGGTATGAGGGATGGGCAGGAGGCCGGTGCCACTCGAGTGGAAGCACTGACCAGGGGAGTGAGGAGGTCAGAGAGGTGGGGAGGTGCCAGAGAGTGAAGAGATTTGAACACAAGAGTGAGGATCCTGAAGTCGATCTTTTTGTTGATGGAGAACCAGTGGAGTCTGGGCCAGAGCTGGTGAGATGTTGATACACAGTTTGGTCCGGGTCAGTATGCAGGCGACATCTCGGCTCGACTACGCCAATCCCCTGCTTGTCGGCCTCCCCAACTCTTCCCTCCACAGGCTGCAGATCATCCAGAACTCTGCAGCTTGTGGGCTCTCCCTCACCAGACTCCGTAACCCCATCACCTCACCCTCGCCTGCCCGGCTCCACTGGCTCCCCATACCCCAAAGGATAGGGTTCAAAACCCTTGTCCTCGCCTTCAAGGCCCTCCATGACCTTGTCCCTCTCTACCTCTCAGATCTGCTGACTCCTTAACAACCTGTCCACTCCCTCCGCTCAGCGGGCTCCGGACTGCTCCATGTCCCCCGCCCGCCCCCCCCACACCCCCACCATAGGTGGTCGGGCCTTCAGCCTCTCCGCCCCCACCCTCTGGAACTCCATCCCACATTCCCTTTGCCTCGCTCCCTCCCTTGCCTCTTTTCAAGACTCCTTCAACCGTGCCTTCGGCCATCCTGCTGCCCCCTGTCCTCCACCCTCCCTTACCGCAATACCCCCCACCCCCTCTCTGGCCAAAATCCCTGACTGTCCAGCGCCTTGAGACGTCCTCCCGATGTGAAAGGTGGAGTGTAAATGTCATTCTGTATTGTATTGGATCAGTATTTAACCCTATGTGGGACACACTGTGACACTGACAGACACACACACACACACTCACACACTGACAGACACACTCACTCACACACACAATGACAGATACACATTTACACACACACTGACACACACACACACTAACTCACACACACTGAGACACACACACACACAGAGACTCACACACACTGACAGACACACTCACACAGACTCTCACACACACACACACTAACTCATACACACTGACAGACACACTCACACACACTGACACACACACACACTAACTCACACACACTCACACACATTGATATAAACACTCACACTCACTCACACATACACACACACACACTGACAGACACACTCACACACTCACTCACACACACTGACAGACACACTCACTCACACACACACACACACTGACAAACGCTGAGAGGCGCTGAGTGACCGATGTGAATAGGTTCCACTTTCACTTTCGTCTCTGCTCGTATCCGGATTAAATCTTTCCGCTGTTTCAGGGTAATATGGCGCTGCCGTCTGTGTGCGTGTCCCGAGCCTGGGCTCCGGGGGGTGACCTGTGGGGGGCAGAGGGGTCGGGGGAGGGGACTGGAGGGGCCGCGGCTCTGAGCAGTGGATGGGCAGTACCCGCGGGACTGGATGTGAGTATTTGATCCGCAGCCGCTCAGCTCACATGGACTTCCTGATCCACAGCCGCTTCCCATTGCATTCCCTGTGATGTTCACCTCCGCCAAATGTCTCACTCACCCCGACTGCAGCTCGGGCTGACTGTACCCCGACACCTCCTCTCCGTGAGCCTGAGGGTGAGAGTGAGTGTGAGAGTGAGTGTGAGTGTGACAGTCTGTGAGTGTGAGAGTCTGTGAGTGTGAGAGTCTGTGAGTGTGAGAGTGAGTGTGAGTGTGAGAGCCTGTGAGTGTGAGAGTGAGTGTGAGAGCCTGTGAGTGTGAGAGTGAGTGTGAGAGCCTGAGAGTGAGTGTGAGAGCCTGAGAGTGAGTGTGAGAGCCTGAGGGTGAGAGAGTCTGTGAGTGTGAGAGTGAGTGTTAGTGAGTCTGTGAGTGTGAGAGTCTGTGAGTGTGAGAGTGAGTGTGAGTGTGAGAGCCTGTGAGTGTGAGAGCCTGTGAGTGTGAGAGTGAGAGTGAGTGTGAGAGTCTGTGAGTGTGAGAGTGAGAGTGAGTGTGAGAGAGTCTGTGAGTGTGAGAGAGTCTGTGAGAGTGAGTGTGAGAGTGAGTGTGAGTGAGAGACTGTCAGTGTGAGAGTGAGTGTGAGAGTCTGTGAGTGTGAGAGTGAGTGTGAGAGTCAGTGTGAGTGTGAGAGTGAGTGTGAGAGCCTGTGAGTGTGAGAGTGAGTGTGAGAGCCTGTGAGTGTGAGAGTGAGTGTGAGAGTCTGTGAGTGTGAGAGTGAGAGTGAGTGTGAGAGCCTGAGAGTGTGAGAGCCTGTGAGTGTGAGAGTCTGTGAGTGTGAGAGTGAGTGTGAGAGAGTCTGTGAGTGTGAGAGTGAGTGTGAGTGAGTGTGAGAGTGAGTGTGAGAGTGAGTGTGAGAGTGAGAGTGTGAGTCTGTGAGTGTGAGAGTGAGTGTGAGTGTGAGAAAGAGAGCCGGTGAGAGTGAGTCTGTGAGTGTGAGAGTGAGTGTGAAAGCCTGAGTGTCAGAGTGAGCGTGAGTGTGCGAGTGAGTGTGAGAGCCTGTGAGTGTGAGAGTGACTGTGAGAGCCTGAGTGTGAGAGTGAGTGTGAGAGCCTGAGTGTGAAAGTGAGCATGAGAGCGAGTGTGAGAGTGAGAGTCTGTGAGTGTGAGAGTGAGTGTGAGAGCCTGAGTGTGAGAATGAGTGTGAGACAGTCTTTGAGTGAGTCTGTGAGTGAGTGTGTATGAGCCTGTGAGTGGGAGAGAGTCTGTGAGTGAATGTGTGAGAGTGAATGTGTGAGAATCTGTAAGTGTGTGAGTGAGTCTGTGAGTGTGGGAGAGTGATTATTCGTTATTTGAACCCCTTCAGTCGGGTTTCGGTGCTGCCCATAGCACAGAAACTGCCCTCTGGTCAAGGTCACCACTGACCTCCTGACCATCTGTGACCAGGGCTCCCTCTGTCTCCTCGTCCTCCTCGACCTATCGGCAGCATTCGATACGGTCGACCACGCTATCCTACTCCACCGCTTGTCCTCCCACCTCAACCTTCAAGGCCCTGTCCTTGAGTGGTTTAGGTCGTACCTTTCTCACCGTCTTCACTTTGTCTCAACAAATGGCTTCTCCTCCACCCCCCGTACTGTCTCATGTGGTGTCCCTCAGGGCTCTGTCCTCGGTCCCCTCCTCTTCACCCTCTATATGCTCCCCCTGTGGTGACATCATCCGCAGACATGGGGTTCACTCCCACATGTATGCGGATGACACCCAACTCTACCTTTCCTCCTCTACCCTCAACTCCACGACCCCGATGTCCTGACAGCTGTCTGTCCGACATCGAGTCCTGGACGAGAGACAACTTTCTTCAGCTCAACGTGCGCCAAACTGAGGCCCTCCTGATTGGCTCACGTCAGCGCCTCCGCACCTCAGGCGCTGACAGCATCAGCATCCAAGGCCGCACTCTCCACCTCTCAAAGCCATCAGGAACCTCGGGGTTCTGTTCGACCCTGAGCTGTCCTTTCTCCCTCATATCCGCCCCACAACTGGCACCGCCTTCCATCACCTCCGGAACATCGCCAGACTACGGCACTACCTCACCCCTCACGCGGCTGAAACTCTGGTCCACACCTTTATCACCTCAAGGCTGGACTATGGGAATTCTCTCCACGCCGGCCTTCCCGGCCCTCTCTCCACACTGCCGGTCATTCAGAACTCTGCAGCTCGTGTACTGGCCCGCACCAGGCTTCGTGCCCACATCACTCCCACCCTCGCCCTCGCTCGCCTCCACGGGCTCCCCATCCCCCAGAGGATCGAATTCAAGATCCTCATCCTCACCTACAAGGCCATTCACGGCCTCGCTCATTCCTACCTCTCCGACCTACTATCCCCCTACCTACCTGCCCGTACCCTCCGTTCCTCTGGCTCCGGTCTGCTCCACATCCCCCGCCCCAACCCCCCTACCATCGGTGGCCGGGCCTTCGCCACCTCCTCCCTTTCCTCCTTCAAGGCCGGTCTCAAGACCTTTCTCTTTGACCTTCAGCCTTCAGCTCCCCTCTCGACACTCTAACCCCTCCTCGCTCCCTCCCTTCCCTCCCCTCACCCTGACCATTTCCCCCTTGCTCGGGTCCTGACCCAACTGTACAGTGCCTTGGGACGTAAAAGGCGCTCTAAAAATGGAATCTTGTTGTTGTTGTTGTTGAGGGTGTGAGTGAGTGTGGGAGAGTGAGGGTGTGCGTGAGTTTGTGTGAATGAGTGTATTTGAATGTGTGAGAGTGAGAGTGAATGAGTGTGTGAGATTGTGAGTGGAGATTGCAATGAGAGTTCACACCGTGTGTTAGTTACTGGGCTCTTGGTGACTTTAATGAGAGTGATTTGGGACAGAGGCCCCGCGGGGCGGGTGTCACTCTCAGTCTGAAGACTTTCTGAGTCCAGCTGCGATCAGCGACCAATCTCTGCCCCTCCCTCCCTCCCTCCTTCCCTCCCAGGATCATATGCTCAGTGTGGGCGAGGCTCCCCCTTACCCACTCCCTTTGCCCCCATCCCCTCACCCCTCACTCCCCTCTCCCTCCCCCACTCCCTTCCCTTCCCTCATCCCCACTCCCTCCCTCCACTCACTTCCCTCACCCACTTTGCTCACCCACGACCCCCCCTCCCCCCCACCCACTCCCCTACCCTCCCCCTTTCTCCCACTCGTTTCCCCCATCCCTGATCACCCATCCCCTCCCCCTGCCTTTGCCCAGCCCATTCTCCTGCTCCCTGCTTGCCCTCTGCCCCTCACCTACTTCCCCCCACCCACTCCCCGCCCTCTCACCTGCTTGCCCTCTCCCCATGGCCTCTCTCCCGTTCCTCTGGGTTTGTGCTGACCTTACGGTTTGTGTAAAGTGAGCTGTTATGTTGCAGCCGGTGGAGTTTGTAAAGCCGTACACAGAGGGCGAGTCTGGGGTCCAGATCAGATTACACCATGGGACCACCACCATGGCATTCAAATTCCAACATGGGGTCATCGTGGCCGTGGACTCCAGAGCCTCAGCGGGATCCTATATAGGTCGGTATCTCATAACCCACTGGAGCTTTCTAACCCCATTCACGGCTCTCACTGCATCTTAAAGTCCAAATAATGGCCTTTTCTTTGTTTGCTTTGTATCTTCCAAACACCTCTCTCTCTATTGGGCCGCAGTCCCTTTAGCCCATCCCTTGATGTTGGCTCTTCGGTCTCTCTTAGCAGTTTAATCTCTCTGCAGCTTTTCTCTATTCTTCAATCTTACCTGGAGTTCAGGTTTGGCTCCTGCCCTGTAAATGCTGTATGTTTCTGTCTTCAGGTGCAGATTTGATTGGAGCTGTTTAAACTCTTGCTAATCTGTGTTTTAACCCTCTCGGGAATTGGGTAAACAGGGTGTGCCCCTCCAGGGAGAGTGCACGTTCTGACCCCCATTGGGAAATAACCATATGCAGATGGCAAACATAGGTTTTGCTTTCAGTAATTTGGTTTAGAGACTCTTGAACCAAACACATCCTTCAGTCAATCTGGGCAAATCCATTTGCTTTAATGTCCTATATTTAATCAGGTTGTCCTTGTTCTCAACTCTTGCTTTTCCTTTTCTGTTTCCCCTGATCGAGTTCTGTCATGATCACTTTGTCCCAAACATTCCCATGTGACGGTCACACATGTAAAGGTCACACACGTGAAGTTCACACATGCAAAGGTCACACACGTGAAGGTCACACACGGAAAGGTCCCACATGTGAGGGTTATGTGACCCCTGAGAAGCCAGAACTGATTGTACAGACCTGTCCGTGCAACCTTACACAGCTGAGCTTTACTGTCTGACTGTATCTGTGTATGAGCTTCACTGTCTGACTGTATTTGTGTCTGAGCTTCACTGTCTAACTGTATCTGTGTCTGAGCTTCACTATCTGACTTATCAAGCTACCGGCCCATCTCCAACCTCCCCTTCCTGTCCAAGGTCCTTGAAAGAGTTGTCGCTTCCCAGCTGCGCTCTTTCCTCTCCACCCATGCACTATTCGAACCCTTTCAGTCGGGTTTCCGTGCTGCCCATAGCACAGAAACTGCCCTGGTCAAGGTCACCAATGACATCCTGACCATCTGCGACCAGGGCTCCCTCTGCCTCCTCGTCCTCCTCGACCTATCGGCAACATTCGATACGGTCGACCACGCTATCCTCCTCCACCGCTTGTCCTCCCACCTCAACCTTCAAGGCCCTGTCCTTGAATGGTTTAGGTCATACCTCTCCCACTGTCTTCATTTTGTTTTCACAAACGGCTTTCCCTCCACCCCCCGCACTGTCTCGTGCGGTGTCCCTCAGGGCTCTGTCCTCGGTCCCCTCCTCTTCACCCTCTATATGCTCCCCCTGTGGTGACACCATCCGCAGACATGGGGTTCACTCCCACATGTATGCGGATGACACCCAACTCTACATTTCCTCCTCTACCGTCAACTCCACGACCCCCAATGCCCTGACAGCTGCCTGTCCGACATCGAGTCCTGGACGAGAGACAACTTTCTTCAGCTCAACGTGCGCCAAACTGAGGCCCTCCTGATTGGCTCACGTCAGCGCCTCCGCACCTCAGGCGCTGACAGCATCAGCATCCAAGGCCGCACTCTCCATCTCTCAAAGCCAGTCAGGTACCTCGGGGTTCTGTTCGACCCTGAGCTGTCCTTTCTTCCTCATATCCGCGCCATAACTGGCACCGCCTTCCACCACCTCCGAAACATCGCCAGACTACGGCACTACCTCACCCCTCACGCGGCTGAAACTCTGGTCCACGCCTTTATCACCTCAAGGCTGGACTATGGGAACTCTCTCCTCGCCGGCCTTCCCGGCCCTCCCACCACAAGCTGCAGGTCATTCAGAACTCTGCAGCTCATGTACTGTCCCCCACCACATCACTCCCACCCTCACCCTCACCCTCATCCTCGCTCGCCTCCACTGGCTCCCCATCCCCCAGAGGATCGAATTCAAGATCCTCATCCTCGCCTACAAGGCCATTCACGGCCTCGCTCCCTCCTACCTCTCTGACCTACTATCCCCCTACTTACCTGCCCGTACCCTCCGTTCCTCTGGCTCCGGTCTGCTCCACATCCCCTGCCTCAACCGCCCTACCAGCGGTGGCCGGACCTTCAGCCTCTCAGCCCCGAGGCTCTGGAACTAATTCCCCCAGTGCCTTCGCCGCTTCCTCCCTTTCCTCCTTCAAGGCCGGTCTCAAGACTTTTCTCTTTGACTGTGCCTTCAGCTTCCCTCTCAACTCTCTATCCCCTCCTCGCTCCTTCCCTCCCCTTGACCATTTCCCCCCTGCTCAGGTCCTGACCCAACTGTCCAGCGCCTTGGGACGTCCTCCCGACGTGAAAGGCGCTCTATAAATGGAATGTTGTTGTTGACTGTGTCTGTGTCTGAGCTTCACTGTCTGACTGTATCTGTGTCTGAGCTTCACTGTCTGACTGTATCTTTGTCTAAGCTTCACTGTCTGACTGTTCTCTGTGTTTAGATACCCAGACTTTCAATAAGGTGATCGAAATTAACCCCTATTTACTGGGCACCATGTCAGGCAGTGCAGCGGACTGTGTGTACTGGGAACGCAAGTTAGCCATGCATTGCAGGTACGTGTGAACAGTGAGTGTGAGTGTGCACTGCACATGCGTGTGAGCAGTGAGTGCGAGCAGTGGGCAAGTGTGATCAGTGAGTGAGCAAGCACACATACAGGCAGGTACATGTGAGCAGTGAATGTGAGCTGTGAGTGTGAGCAGTGAATGTGAGCAGTGAGTGTGAGCAGTTAGTGTGAGCAGTGAGTGTGAGCAGTGAGTGTGAAAGCACTGCAGATACATGTGAGCAGTGAGTGTGAGCAGTGAGTGTGAGCAGTGAGTGTGATGAAGTGCCCATGCTGTGAGAGGTGAGGTCTCTGATGCCTGCTCTAACCTCACGCTTGTGGTTCAGGATTTACCGGCTGCGGAACAAGCAGCGAATCTCGGTTTGTGCAGCCTCCAAACTGCTGGCCAACATGGTGTCTGAGTACAGAGGAATGGGCCTCTCCATGGGCACCATGGTCTGTGGCTGGGACAAGAAGGTAAGTACATCTCCGCGATACATAGCACTGTGTGTTTACACCCACCCAACCCAGTACATAGCACTATGTGTACACACCCCACCCCACCCCGGTACACACCAGCCTGACACCAGTACACAGTACTGTGTGTGTACACACCACCCCACCCCGGTACACAACACTGTGTGTGTACACACCACCCCAATATACAGCAATGTGTACACACACCACCCTGACCCTGGTACATAGCAATGTGTGTGTATACCTTACTCCAGTATACAGCACTGTGTACAAAACCACCCTGATACCAGTACACAGCTCTGTGTATGTACACATCAACCTAACCCCAGTTCACAGCAGTGTGTGTACACACACCATCCTGATCCAGGTACACAGCACTGTGTTTGTGCACACAACAGCCTAACCAGGTACACAGAGTGTTGTATGTACATACACCACCTTGACCCAGCACCGGATACACATTACCCACAGCCTATGTGTGTTTTTGTGATTCTCATTAATCTGCCCCACATTCCTGACTAGTGCCTGACAGGACAGATCCCAGCACTCTCCGTGCCAATTCCCTTCACCTTCTGCAGCACCTCCATCACACTCAGCCTCTCAGCAACTATAACACATTCCAACTTCTCAACTCTCTTCATAACTCACACACCCTCCGCGCGACATCCCAGTGGATCTGCCTTTTCCACGCAATCCTCCAACTGAGATCTAACCTCACTCTGTCCACAGTTCCCTACCTGTTCAAAACAGCGGTTGTCATCCCCTCCTCAAAAATCTTCCCTCAGGCCATCCCTGTTCTTGCGTACCGTCTCATTCCAACCCGCCTTTTCTCTCCAAGGTACTGAAATGAGTCATAGTTTCCCAGCTTCGCTCTTTCCTCTGCCTGGATGAACCCTCTAATCTGGCTTCCACACTGTCCACAGCACCAAGACTGTCCTGGTCACCAATGATATTCTGTGACCAGGGCTCTCTCTGCCTCCTTGTCCTTCTTGATCTCTCTACCGCCCTCGACCATCTCTCTGCCGCCTTTGACCTTCTCCACCAACTCCCTCAGGGCTCTATCCTCTCCTCTTTAATATCTACAAGCTCCCATTTGGCTATGTCGTCTGCAGGCATGGGGTCAACTTCCACATTTATACGGATGAAACCCAATATCTCTCTGCTTCCACCCAACTCCAGGACCACTGCTGTCCTGGAGGATTGTCTGACAGATATCAAGTCCTGGGTGACATCCCACCTTCTCCAGTTGAGCCAATACCTCTCCCCAAAAGCTGCTGAAACCCTGGTCCATGCCTTTGTCACCTCTCGGCTGGACTACTCCAATCCCTGCTCACCAGTCTGCCATCCACTACCATCCATAAAATCCAAATCATTCAAAACTCTGCCGCCCGCATTGTCACCCGCACCAAACTCCGCTTCCCAATCACCCCAGTCCTGGCCAGACTGCACTGGCTGCGTGTCCCAGAGTGGATCGATTTCAAGATCCTCACCCTTGTATTCAAGTCCCTGCACTCCTCTGCACCCCCCGACCTCTCTGACCTCCTCTCTCCTCAAAACAGTACCCGTTGCTTTCGTTCCTCCGGGTCTGGCCTCCTCCTCATCCCCCGATTCCTCCGCTCCATCCTTGGCAGCCGTGCCTTCAGCCACTATTTCCCGAGGCTTTGGAACTGCCTTCCTCATTCCCTTCGTCTCACTCCCTCCCTTCCCATTTTCAGGTCTCTGCTGAAGACCTTTCTTTTCAACCACGCCTTTGGTCACCTTCCCCCCCTCCCCTGGCTTGGTCCCCGGATCCGTTACTGTAAAGTGCTCTGAGTGTCCAGTGTGGAGGGCGCTGTATAAATCCAAGTTGTTGTTGTTGTTGAGCATTGACAAGACCAAGGCCCTCCTGATTGGCTTTAGTCAGCATCTCCACACCTCAGGTGCTGGCATCATCACCAGCCATGGATGCTCACTCCACCTCACTGAGCCAATGCAGAACCTCTGTGTCTCTTTCAACTCTCAACTGTTCTTCAAATCTCACATTCAAACTCTGACCCATTCAGCTTTCCCCCACCTCTGCAACATTGCCCACCTCTGCCACTGCCTCTCCCCTTCAGCCACTGAGACCAGTATCCATGAATTAATCATGTCCAGGCTAGCCTAGCACTCTGCCAATTTGCTCTACATCCCAATTCTTCCCTCCACAAGTTGGCTACAGACCACCCAAACTCTAATTCTAAGAAACAGCGCTCGTCAAAATCAGAAATAGCATCCTCTCTCTCTGGGAAGTAGCATTCTCTCCCGCACCAAGCTCCGTAAAGCAATTACACCCATCCTCATCTGGCTCTCCATGCCCCAGAGCATTGAGTTCAAGATCATCATCCTCACCTTTAATGTCCTCTATGGTCTTGCCCCACCGTGAGCTCTGTGACCATCTTAAATCCTACCAACCCACCCGTTCCCTCCACTCAGCTTCCACTGGCCTGTTTCACATCCCCGACCTGCCCACTCCAAAATCAGCGGTCAGGCTTTCAATCTGTCTGCTCCCACCCTATGGAACTCAATCTTGGAGTCCCTCCACCTCTTCCTTTGCTTCTGTCAAGGTCTGTCTCTTTGATTGCACCTTTGGGTAGCTTACCCCTCCCCCAGCCCCACCCCTCCCAAATCCAACCCCCAGTTCAGGTGCAAATGCTCGACTATCCAGTACCTTGGGGGTACCTCCCAAAATGACAGGTGCAATCTAAATGCAGTTTGTTGTTATAACCAGAGTGTAATGTTCACTGTTCCCTCCCTGTATCTGGACCTCTGCAGTTTGTCCTGTTTTAATGTTTTAACAATAGCAACCCGCACTTACATATCACCCTCCACACAGGGTAGTGTCTCAGAGCACTTATTACACAATCTGTAGAAGGTTATCAGACAAAGAATGAGATTTATTTAACATTTTAGGGCCCTCAACTGTACTACGTGGGTGATTCAGGTATGAGACTCTCTGGGGAAAGGTTCTGCACAGGGTCGGGCAGCACCTACGCCTATGGTGTTCTGGACAGTGGACACAGACAGGACATGGAGGTGGAGGAGGCCTATCAGTTGGCACAGAGAGCGATCTACCATGCCACGCACCGCGATGCCTACTCTGGGGGCAAAGTGAACAGTGAGTAACTGTGAGCTATAAGGTAGAACTCCAATATCTGCCGAACATTTCTTATATTCAGGACAGAATCAGCAGGAGGTCACTCAGCCCATCAAGTCTGTTCTGGTAATTTATTGGTTCGTAGCAGACTCTGTGTGAACAAGTGTGTTCTGGTCTCACCATCCAAGCTCTAATTCTAAGAGACAGCGCTCATCAAAATCAGAAATGGCATCCTCTCCCTCTGGGACCAGGGCTCCCTCTGCATCCTTGTCGTCCTGGATCTCTCTGCCGCATTCACAGTATATCATACCATCCATCTCCACCGCCTGTCTTCCCTCATCCATCTTAGTGAGACTACACTTCCTTGGTTTGAGCCCTACTTAACCAACAGCCACTTCATCTCCATAAATGCTTTCTCCTCCTGCCCTCACCTCTCTCGCAGTGAGAGACTGTCTGGTGTCTGTGTTTACAGTGTATTACAGTGAGAGACTGGCTGGTGTCTGCGTCTGTGTTGACAGTGTATCACAGGGAGAGACTGGTGACTGTGTTTACTGTGTATCACAGTGAGAGACTGGCTGGTGACTGTGTTTAATAATAATAATAATAATCCTTGCATTTGATATAGCGCTTTTCACGTCAGGAGGACGTCCCAAAGCGCTTCACAGAACACACTGTAAAGTGAATTGACTGTATATTTGTGGGCGAACGCGGCAGCCAATTGCACACAGCAATGTCCCACAAACAGTCGTAGATTGAAAATGACCAATTTATTATTGTTTTGGGTTTTGGAGGGATTATTATTAGGCTCTGTGTGGAGTAAGGAAACTTGCCCAACGTTTCGCCCTCTGCCTGGAATTGAACTCAGGTGTCTCACTTGCAAAGCGAGTGCTCTAACTACTGAGCTACAGGACTCCACACAAAGTTTACAGTGTATCACAGTGAGAGAGTGTCTGGTGACTGTGTCTGTGTTTACAGTGTATCACAGAGAGAGACTGTCTGGTGTCTGTGTTTACAGTGTATCACAGAGAGAGACTGTCTGGTGTCTGTGTTTACAGTGTATCACAGAGAGAGACTGTCTGGTGACTGTGTTTACAGTGTATCACAGTGCGAGACTGGGTCTGTGTTTACAGTGTGTCACAGTGCGAGACTGTCTGGTGACTGTGTTTACAGTGTATCACAGTGAGAGACTGTCTGGTGACTGTGTTTACAGTGTATCACAGTGCGAGACTGTCTGGTGACTGTGTTTGCGGTGTATCACAGTGCGAGACTGGTGACTGTGTTTGCAGTGTATCACAGTGAGAGACTGTCTGGTGACTGTGTTTACAGTGTGTCACAGTGCGAGACTGTCTGGTGACTGTGTCTGTGTTTACAGTGTATCACATGCGAGAGGACGGCTGGATTAAAGTTTCGCAGGAGGATGTGGGTGATCTTCACTACAAGTACGCAGCGGAGTGAGAGAAGGAGCCGGGGGTCACTCAGTCAGACCCCCTCCAGTGGGGCTCTGTGAGGTTGAAGTATCATCACTGACCCACTGATTTGCAATGAAGTGGACCTGGTTATGGCGTCCGCCTGTCTCAACTGATTAAAGCTTTGTTTCAAACACATTCCACAGCCTCCCAGTGAAGATTGTTTACATCACGTAAACACCATCACATCATCACATCATCACAGCCTGAAACTCAGAAATACACTGAACATACAGTAAACATAGAGTAAATATACAGTAAACATAACACCATCACATTATCACAGCCTGAAACTCAGAAATACTGTAAACATAGTAAACATACAGTCAATATACTACAAACAAACAATAAATATACAGTAAACATACAATAAATCCATGTATGCAGATGACACTCAACTCTACTTTTCCACCTCCAGCTGCGACCCCCAGTCCCCTGATTATTATGTCAGCTTGTCTGTCGGACATCAGGAGCTGGATGAGTGCAAATGTCCTGCAGTTAAACGTCAACAAGACGGAAGCCATACTCTTTGGCTCCCACCGACATCTTCTGTCCCACGGTTCCAACTTCCTCAACCTACCTGACCTGTCCTTAAAGTTCTCCGAACCCATGCACAACTTAGGCATCAGGTTCGATCCCCAGTTATCCTTCCTCCCCCATATCCGGTCCCTGACCAGCACCGCTTTCTTCTGCCTCCACCACATTGCCCACCTCCGACAATACCTCACCCCAAAAGCTGCCGAAACCCTTGTCCGTGCCTTTGTCACCTCTCAGCTGGACAGCTCTAACACCTTCCTCGCCGGTCACTCCTCCTCCACTATTCACAAATCCAGTGCATTCAAAACTCCGCCGCCTGCATTCTCTCCCTCACTGACCTCCGTATCCCGATTACTCCAGTCCTGGCCAAATCCCACTGGCTCCCAGTCACAGAGTGGATCCACTTCAAGATCCTCACTCTGGTGCTTATATCCCTCTATTCCTTGCCCCACCAATCTCTCTAACCTCCTCTCTCCCACAGCAGAGCGCTGCCTCCACTCTACTGGGTCCAGTCATCCTCCGCTCCACCATCGGCAGCCGTGCCTTCAGCCACCATGCCCCAAAACTTTGGAAATCCCTCCCTCAACCCCTTGCTTTCTCCCCTTCCTTCCCCATCGTCAGGTCACCTCTGCAGACCTTCCTTTCCCACTGTGCCTATGGTCACCTTCCCCCTTGGCTTTGGGTTCCACCATTGTTAAACTCTGAGATGCCGCCCGGCATGGAGGGCACTATATAAGTGCAAATTGTTGTTGTTGAGTAACGGTGGGGCAGCGTGTGTAACAGGCAGTAAGGCAATGCGTGTGTGTGTGTAACAGGCAGTGGGGCACTGTGTGTGTGTGTAACAGGCAGTGGGGCAGTGTGTGTGTGGGTGTAACAGGCGGTGGGGCAGTGTATGTGTGTGTGTTACAGGCAGTGGGGCAGTGTGTGTGTGTGTAACAGGCGGTGGGGCAGTGTGTGTGTGTGCCTACAGGCGGTGGGGCAGTGTGTGTGTGTATGTGTGTAACAGGCAGTGGGGCAGTGTGTGTGTGTGTAACAGGCAGTGGGGCAGTGTGTGTGTGTATATGTGTGTAACAGGCAGTGGGGCAGTGTAGGTGTGTGTAACAGGTGGTGGGACAGTGTGTGTGTGTGTGTGTTACAGGCAGTGGGACAGTGTGTGTGTGTGTATATGTGTGTAACAGGCAGTGGGGCAGTGTAGGTGTGTGTAACAGGCGGTGGGGCAGTGTATGTGTGTGTGTTACAGGCAGTGGGGCAGTGTAGGTGTGTGTAACAGGCGGTGGGACAGTGTGTGTGTGTGTATGTGTGTAACAGGCAGTGGGGCAGTGTAGGTGTGTGTAACAGGCGGTGGGACAGTGTGTGTGTGTGTATGTGTGTAACAGGCAGTGGGGCAGTGTAGGTGTGTGTAACAGGCGGTGGGGCAGTGTGTGTGTGTGTGTTGCAGGCAGTGGGGCAGTGTGTACTGTAGGTGTCAGTAACACACGGCACTGACAGGCCAGGTTGGTTTTGTGAGCTGTGCGAGGCCGGGCTGCCTGGTGACTGGTGACGAGGAGAGCAGCCGTCTGCCCTCAGCCACAGCCACAGCTTCCCCTGTGAAGACTGTTTGCTCTGAGCAGCGACAGGAAGCCACTCCCTCAGGAGGGGATTCCCACGGTTTGTTTGCTGCCAAACTGGATTTTCTTTGGAAAGTCCCGAGTGCAGGAGGAAGGCAAGAGCGAGCGGGGTGGTGGTGGGGTGGGGGGGGGCAGAGGTACAGCTACTGGGCAAACAACAACAATAATAATAATAATCCTTGCATTTGATATAGTGCTTTTCGCGTCGGGAGGACGTCCCAAAGCGCTTCACAGAACACACTGTAAAGTGAATTGACTGTATATTTGTGGGCGAACGCGGCAGCCAATTGCGCACAGCAGTGTCCCACAAACAGTCGTGGATTGAAGATGACCGATTTATTATTGTTTTTGGTTTTGGAGGGATTATTATTAGGCTCTGTGTGGAGTAAGGAAACTTGCCCAAGGTTTCGCCCTCTGCCTGGAACTGAACTCAGGTCTCAGGTCTCTCGCTTGCAAGGTGAAGGCTCTAACCACTGAGCTACAGGACTCCACAACTTGCATTTACACAGTGCCCCTCGCACAGGATAGTGTCCCAGAGCATGACTCCAAGCCGGGGGGAGGGGGAGGTGACCGTAGGCATGGTGGAATAGGAAGGTCTTCAGGCGCTACCCGAAAATGGGAAAGGAAGGGCAAGGCAGAGGGATAGGGGAAGAGTGTTCCAAAGTTTCGGGGCTTAGTGGCTGAAAGCACCGCCACCAATGGTGGAACGGGGGACATGCAAAAGCCCGGAGCCAGTTGAGCAGAGGCAGTGGGTTGTGTGTTGGGTGGTAAGCAGATTGGAGAGGTGCCTGGGTATGAAGGGATTTGAAAGCTAGTGTGAGGATCTTGAAATTGACCCATTCAGTAATGGGGAGTCAGTGGATCTTGGTTAGAACTGGTGTGATGGGTATGGAGTTTTGTGGGAGTGAGTTTGCGGGCGGCAGTTTTGGATCAGTTGGATCCTGTGCATGGTGGAGCTGGGGAGATTGGCAAAGAGGGCATTTGAGAAGTCCAGTCGGGAGGTGATGAGTGTTTCTGCTGCATCTGGGATAAGGTAGGTTCAGAGGTGGACAATGTGACAGAGGTGGAGGAAGGCGGTCCTGATCAGGGACCGAATGTTGGGCTGGAAGAAAAATGGAAATGGGTTGGTAATTTGTGAGGTTGGAGGGAACAAGCTGGGTATTTGAGGAGGGGAATGATGACAGCTGTTTTAAGGGGGAGAGGACCAGAACCTGAGGAGAGTGACTGGTTGATTGTGTTGGCCAGCAGTGGGGAGAGGAGGGGGAGTTGAGTGACCAGCAGCTGGGTGGACAGGGGAGTCGAGGCAGCAGGCAGTGGCCTTCATCTGGGACAGGACGGTTGAGAGGGAGGTGGGAATAATTGGGGCAAAGGAGTGTTGGGAGGGCCATGGTGGAAGATGGGTGTAGTGTTGATGGTCCAGGGGCGTGTGGAAGGGGATCTGGGGGAAGAGGATGCACCCAAGCAGATGTTTTGAGAGGCGGTAGTTGTGGAGACGCTCGAACCACAGCTGATAACAACAACAACAACAAGATTCCATTTATAGAGCGCCTTTCACGTCGAGAGGACGTCCCAAGGCGCTGTACAGTTCGGTCAGGACCCGAGCAAGGGGGAAATGGTCAGGGTGAGGGGAGGGAATGGAGGGAGTGAGGAGGGGTTAGAGAGTCGAGAGGGGAGCTGAAGGCACAGTCAAAGAGAAAGGTCTTGAGACCGGCCTTGAAGCAGGAAAGGGAGGAGGCGGCGAAGGCACTGGGGGATAGAGTTCCAGAGCCTCGGGGCTGAGAGGCTGAAGGCCCGGCCATCGATGGTAGGGAGGTTAGGGCGGGGGATGTGAAGCAGACTGGAGCCAGAGGAACGGAGGGTGCGGGGAGGCAGGTAGGGGGATAGTAGGTCGGAGAGGTAGGAGGGAGCGAGGCCGTGAATGGCCTTGTAGGTGAGGATGAGGATCTTGAAATCGATCCTCTGGGGGATGGGGAGCCAGTGGAGGCGAGCGAGGGTGGGATCTCAATCCAAGATGGTGGATTGTGAGACAGGATTAATGCCATCTGCGCTCGAGTGTCTGGGTTTTAGTTTTAGGGATCAAAGGTGTCTGTTGAACCAGGTGAATTTGGAAACAATCCTGGATTTCAGGGGAGCCAGGGACTTGAAGGATGTGGAGAGACAGTCATTCAGCAGCTTGATCTCAGGATCTCCGCGGGTGCAGGGCCAGAGGGAGAGGAGGTCCGAGGAAGAGAAGGCATTTATGAAGGACTCGGGGAAGCTTTCTCCAGGGGCGTAAAAAGATGGTGAAGGGCTTGGAAGAGGGGAGAGTGATATGGGAGGAGAGGGAGATGAGGATGTAGTCGGAGATGGCCTTGACCGTGATGGACAGGTCGGAAAAGTCAAGGCCATAAGTGATGAAGAGGTCGAGGGGGTGGCCATGATTGTGGGTCGGTGAGTTGATGTAGAGGGTGAGGTTTCGGGAGGAGAGGAGGGCAGTGAAGTTGGAAGAGGTGGGGCAAGGGGAGTTTAGTGGAGGTTGAAATCACCCATTATGAGCAGGTGTTCAGTGCAGAGGGATAGGGAGAAAGGAGGAGATATCAGTGAGGAAGGAGCCAGGAGTTTTGAGATTGGGGGGGTGGGGGGAGCAATAAACTAGGAGGATTTTGAGGGAAAGGGAGGGAGGATGGTAAAAGGTGAAGTGCTCAAAGGAGAATTTTCTCTTTGACCGTGCCTTCAGCTCCCCTCTCGACTCTCGCTCCCTCCCTTCCCTCCCCTCATCCTGACCATTTCCCCCCAATGCTCGGGTCCTGACCCAACTGTACAGTGCCTTGGGACGCACTCCCGACGTGAAAGGCGCTCTATAAATGGAATCTTGTTGTTGTTGTTGTTGTTGTTGAGGAGAAACAGCCAGAGGAATAGGGGGGATAGACCAAGGGAAGCTTGGGAAATGACGGACAGCTTTATTGGAGAGGGAGCGGACATTTTGAAGGGAAATGCAGATAGGGGAGAGGGGATGGGCATCAGGGTTTAGGTTCCAGAGACAGGGAGGGAATGAAATAATGGACAGGAAGGGAAAGGAGGGACAATGTGTATGTTACAGAATGAACGCCAAATGGAATAGATACTATAACGTACACCAAATGACAATATTATCTGCATCCTTTATTAAGCATTGGAAATACAACTAAAGGCGGTTTTCATTTCAGAAAAAATATTTTAATGTAATCTGAAAATTAATTGTAAAGTTCTACACTCTACAGTACAGCCTGTGTTACACAGTGCATAGTACAGGCTATGTTACACAGTGCACATTACAGGCTGTGTTACACAGTACATGCTGTGTTAAACAGTACACAATGCAGGCTGTGTTCCACAGTACACAGTGTAGGCTGTGTTACACAGTAGAGTACAGACTGTGTTACACAGTGCACAGTACAGGTTGTATTACACAGTGCAGAGTACAGGCTGTGTTACACAGTACACACTACAGGCTGTGTTACACAGTACACACTACAGGCTGTGGTACACAGTACAGTCTGTGTTACACAGTGCAGGCTGTGTTACACAGTGCACAGTACAGGGTGTATTAAACAGTACACAATGCAGGCTGTGTTCCACAGTACACAGTGTAGGCTGTGTCACACAGTGCAGAGTACAGGCTGTGTTACACAGTGCACAGTACAGGCTGTGTTACACAGTACACAGTACAGGCTGTGTTACACAGTGCTGTACAGGTTGATGGTCGCTCTATGAGATCTGCATTTCCTGCACCTCCTCGTGTATCAGCTGGAAGCTGAGGGGAGTGACATCTTTACTCAGCACCGCTGTACAGCCTCTCGGATACCGGTACCTCCCCAGTCTGCAACAGAACCACATCGTCAAGGCAACCACAACCCGGACCCTCACCCCCTCACCCTCTCCATCCTCCCCATCCTCCCTCTCACCCTCCCCATCCTCCCTCACATCCTCTCCATCTTCCCTCACCCCCTCAATCTCTCCATCCTCCCCTCACCCCCCTCAACCTCTCACCCTCTCCATCCTCCCCTCACCCCTCATCCTCTCCATCCTCCCCTCACCCCTTCCATCCTCCCCTCACCCCCTCACCCTCTCTATCCTCCCCTCACCCCTCCTCCTCCCCATCCTGCTTCTTATCTCTCACTCTCCCCTCCACTCCTCAATCCTCCTTCTCAACCCCACAATCCTCCGCACCCTCTCCATTATCCTTCTTATCCCCCACACCCATTTAGCCCCTTACCCTCTTCGTCCTGCTTCTCAACCCCTCCCCCACAAATCGCCCTCACCCCCTCCATCCACCCACCTTCACACCTTCGATCCTCTCCATCCTCCCACCTCATACTCGCTCCATCCTCCACCCTCACACTCTCTCCATTTTCCCCCTCCCCGCTCTCCATCCTCCCACTTCACACTCTCTCGATCTTCCCCCTCATACACGTGTGGCAAGGTGGGGGAGATAGGAGTGGGTGGGTGGGCGGAGGTAGTGGGAGGTGGGATGTGGGGGTAGATGGGGGATGTTGGGGAGGTGGAAGGAGGTGAGGAGATGGGGGAGGGGAGGTAGTGGGAAATGGGGGATGTGGGATGTAGATTGGGGGAGATGGGGAGGTTGGGTATGGGGGAGTTGGGGGTAGGTGGAGATGTGGGGGTAGTGGGGTAGGTTGGGGGAGGTGGAGGAGATGGGGGGAGGTGGGGGAAGTGGAGGAAGTGGGGGAGTTGGGTAAAGTGGGGAGGTGGGGAGTTGGGGGAGATGGGGTAGGTGGGGCAGTTGTGGGAAGTGGGATAAATGGAGGGAGGTTGGGGGGGTGGAGGAGATGGGGGAGGTGAGAAAAGTGGGCAGAGGTGGGGGTAGGTGTGGGAGTTGGGGGAGTTGTGGGAAGTGGGGGGTCAATGTTGAAGGATTGATTTCCCTGTGAAAGAGGTGTGACTGACCGCTGTCCCTTGTAATTGGAGATGTTGTACGGACGGATAAAGTCCACCTTGTGCTGGGTGATCACACACAGGTCAATGTTGCTGCCGGAGCCCAAGTCGTTCATGATCCCAGCATTAATGGCGTCTCTGACCAACATCTTAGCCTCTTCCTCCTGACAATCAGGGACAGTCATTAACACAAACCCCTCTCACTCTCAATCATTCAATCACTCAAACCCATCCACCCACCACCAACTCACTCTCAATCACTCACTGCTCAACCTCGCTCACCCACTCATTCATTCGCTCACCCACTCACTCGCTCACTCACTCAACCACTCAACCTCACCCACCCACTCACTCTCCCACTTATCCATATACATATACATTTACTCACTCACCCACTCTCACTGGTGCTCTCCACTCTAATCCCATTCCCTGCTCTGGCCCCACATGTATGCTTTGACATCACTTCCTGCATCCTGTGCATGTCCCTTAGTACTGTAAACTGCACACCATTCACTACGCTTTGCAGTATATCCTGTGAAGCGCTTTGAGACATGAATTTGTGGACTAAAAACATGAAGTTTAAAGGGACTCGAACCAGCCGAGTGCGATCCATCGAGTGTAGTGGATGAGAGAGGAGAGTCGGTGGAGAAGGGTGGCATGGTTGACTGTGTCAAATGCAGTGGAGAGATCCTGAAGGAGAAGGAGGCCCTGGTCACAGAGAGAGACAATGTCATTTGTGACTTTGAAGCGTGCTGTCTCTGTGCTGTGGGCAGGGAAATCAGACTGGGGGGCTCGAGGAGCGAGTGAGAGAGACTGGTTGACTATGTCGGTCAGCAGGGGGCAGAAGAGGGAGAGCTGGGTGGTCAGAAGCTGGGTGGGGAGGGGGTCAAGGTAGCAGGTGGTGGGCTTCATACCGGTGACATTGGTTGTGAGGAAGGGCAGGGAGTTGGGGACAAAGGAGTGCAGGAAGGGGCTGGTGCTGGTCTGGCTGTAGCATTGTGAACTTATGTGCATTTATTGATCGGAATCCGTTATTAAACACAAGAGGTGTAAAGTGGAATTACTTTGTGATGACATTAGTGACTCACATTCATGTCCGGCCTATACCTGTCCTCAAAGACTCCCATTGCAGCAAGATTGCCCGAACCTGTGGCATGTGGAGAAGAGACATCAGCTCATCACAGTAACAAAGTGACACCTGTGATCCGCTCCCTATGTCCCAGCACCAGGAAACTTACCCATGGAACTGAAGGGCAGCTTCTGCACTGACCCATGAGGAGTAACCTCATAAATGTGTGGCCCCGAACAGTCAACTCCGCCCAGGAGCAGCATCGCACTGATGTGGCCACGATACCTGAGCACAGGGGTTTAGGGTTAAGTGAAAGATCTTAGTTTGTACAATTATACCAGTAAGTAATAAAGCAAAGCTCCCACTACACTGTCCACACGTCCACACTCTCAGATCAGGGTTAGAGACAGTAAAGCCCCTCTACACTGTGTGTCCACACTCCCAGGTCAGGGTTACAGACACAGTAAAGCTCTACACTGGGTGTCCACACTCCCAGGTCAGAGTTAGACATAGGGAAAGTTTACTGTGGTTTCAGGTTACTATATGTGTCCCTCTGATACATGGTTGTGGGCATGATGTGTTACTGTATGTGTAGCGTGTTGTAGGATGACATATTACTATGCATGTCCCATGTTATGGCATGATATGTTACTGTATGTGTCAGTCTGTTACCTGAAAAGCGTGTCCTGTAAGAAGCGACTGGCCATGACAAGCCGTGGCTGCCGGCCAGTGGCCAGAGCATGAAGCTCTATTTTTGAGGCCAGCATCTCCGTTGTCTTCTCTGTGTCGGCCGCAGTCCCAGCACCGCAGCAGCTGCAACACGCCAAGCACACGCATCATGTAACCATCACACCCCTCCAAACATGCCAAACATATGCATCTTGTAACCATCCCACCCCTACAAACATGCCAAACACATTGTGTACCCATCACACCCCTCCAAACATGCCAAGCAGACATCGGGTAACCATCGCACCATGTAACACAAGGTTTGTTCACTTACTAAATGTTCGAGCTGATGCGGTGAATTTTAGAACAGTTTTTGTCGACAACAACTTCACCAGACGTGGCTCTTGTATCAGCCCCGAGGACAACTCCACCCTGAGACAGGAACCACAGTCACGATCACACACAGTCACACACCACACACAGTCACAAACCACACGGTCACTGTCACACACGCAGTCACACACCACATACAGTCCCTGTCACATACAGTCACTGTCACACACAGTCACACACAACACAGTCACATACCACACACAGTCACTTTCACACCACATACAGTTACACACCACATACAGTCACATACCATATACAGTCACACACCACATACAGGCACACCACACACAGTCAAACACCAACACACAGTCACCCAACACATACAGCCACACACCACATACAGTCACACACTACATACAATCACACACCACATACAGTGACACACCACACACAGTCATACATAACAACAACAACAAAATTATATTTGTAAAGAGCCTTTCATTCTAAAAGATAGAGGGATTAAGGGCTATGGGGATAAGGAGGGCAGATGGAGTTAGGTTACAAGATCAGTCATGATCTTATTGAATGGCGGGGCAGGCTCGAGGGGCCGAATGGCCTACTCCTGCTTCTGATTCCTATGTTCCTGTGTTCATATTGGGAGGACGTCCCAAGGTGCTGAACAATCACGGATCAGGACCCGAGCATGGGGGTGGGGTGGAGGGGGGCCAGGATGAGAGAGGGCAGAGGGGGGAGGAGGGCGGCTGACGATACGGTCAAAAAGGAGTGTCTTGAGTCATGACTTGAAGGCAGCAAGGAAGGGAGCGAGGCAAAGGGATTGCGGGATGGAGCTCAGAAGATTTTGGGCAGAGACGCTGAAAGCCCAACTGCTGATGGGAGGGTGGGTTGGGTGTGTGACTGGAGCAGGCCAGAGCCTACTGAGCGGATGGGAGCGGACAGGCTGATAGGGGGTCAGCAGGTTGGAGAGGTAGGAGGAAGCAAGGTTGTGGAG